AGGGGGCTATTTGGTTTCCTATCTCTGTCTACCAGCTCCAGAGGCCAGTTGCCTTGAGGGCCACCTGTCTTACTGGTAAAAACTGAGGCAAAGTAGGTGTTAAGTACCTCAGCCTTCTCCTCATCTCTATTAACTATGTTTCCCTCCAAGTCCATCAAAGAATGGAGGTTTTCTTTGCCCCTCCTTCTGCTATTAATGTATTTATAGAAGGACTTTTTGTTATCCCTAACGGAAGTGGCCAATTTAACTTCGAATTGTGCTTTTGCATCCCTGATTTTCTTTCTGCGTGATCTAGCTGTCTTCCTGAATTCTTCGTAAGTAGCCAGCCCTTTCTTCCATAGTTGGTAAACTCTCTTTTTATCCCTGATTTCCTTCAGAATCTCCCTGTTTAACCAAGCTGGTTGTCTTCCCCGCCGGCTTGCCTTTCGGCACACCAGTACGGGCCTGTTCCTGTGCTCTCAAAACTTCCTGCTGGAAGCACATCCATCCCTCCTGAACCCCCTTGTTTTTAAGGGTTGTTTCCCAGGGTATGCTCTGGACTAGACTTCTGAATAGGTCAAAATCTGCCCTCCGGAAATCCAGCGTAGAGGTTTTATTGTTGGCTCGCCTTGAATCTCTGAGTATTGAAAATTCTATTATTTCATGGTCACTGTTTCCCAGGCGGCCTTCAACCACTACATCTCCCACCAGCCCCTCTCTGTTTGTAAACAGCAGGTCTAGCGGGGCCTTACCCCTGGTAGGTTCATTTACCAGTTGATGAAGGAAATTGTCCTCTATACACTTCAGGAACCTCTTAGACTGCCTCTTCTCTGCAGTATTGAGCTCCCAGCATATATCTGGCAGGTTAAAGTCACCCACAAGGACAAAGGCTGATGATTTCGAGACATCCACCAGCTGCTTGTAGAATAATTCATCCCCTTCATCATCCTGGTAGGGCGGTCTGTAACAGACACCTATGATGATGTCGGCCTTGTTGGTCTTCCCCCTGATTCTGACCCACAGGCACTCAACCTTATCGTTGCTGACCTGAATTTCAACAGAGTCAAGAGACTCCCTAACATATAAAGCCACCCCTCCACCTCTCCTACCCTCCCTGTTCTTTCTGAAGAACTTGTAGCCTTCCATAGCAGCACTCCAGTCATGTGAGTCGTCCCACCACGTTTCTGTGATGGCGACTACATCATGGCCTTCATGCTGCACAGTGGCTTCCAGCTCCTCTTGTTTGTTGCCCATACTGCGTGCATTAGTGTACATGCACTTCAGGTGGGCTGTTGATTTAATTCTTAACTCAGGCTTTCCATCCCTAGGTTGATCACTGGAGAGCCCGGTTTCAACCCCTTCCCCCTTCCCCCTTCAAATATAAAATGATCTGGAATGGGCCTGGGGTTATTTTTGTCTTTTTCCTTTTAAAAGAAGATTTTCCACTTCTGTTTTATGCTAAAATGTTATCTTCAGGTTCTCAGATTCTAAAAATTTGAGAATTGCAAAAGATTTTTCTTCACACGCCTTTAAAAATAAATTTTCTGTCATTGCTTAATTCAAACTCCGGAAAAATGGTTATTATTTACCACAGTACATGTGTCATAGTATGTCCTCTAGCAGAGGAAAAACATTCTTTCACCTCCGGTTTCTAGAAATCTGAGGATTTCTGCAGTGAAACCACAGATGAAAATTCTTGGCATTCTTGTATTTCTGAGGTAGAAAACATGTAGAAATGCCTGCTACCAATTTTCAGGCCTTCTTTCTTTACCACATAAATAGCAGAGAAACACAAATGTACTTTTTATAGCCATTTTGTAGGGGCATTTATGGAAAAAGGAATAAGTTTGGGTGGAATTTTCCTTGCCCCTAAATAAAGGTATTAGCATTTTCATCTGAATCACCCAAATGTACATCTGTTTGTAGGCAGAGGATTTACGAGACTTGTATTCTGGAAGATTTCTTAGTGGTACAAGCAGGAGGAGGAAGTCATAAATTTCCTCAAGCCACAGACAAGAACAATGGAGCAACAAAACCAGATCTAGATGTTTTCTTTTTGTAGCTTTTTTATAACCTTAATTTACCACAACATTGCAGGCTTTCTTTAAGAGAAATAAGCTTTGATGCTAGGAGTTTTCATTATCCTTTTTGGGTTGACAATTATTTAGTTATTTTTCATGGATAGTTTTCAAATAATGTGCTTCATCTCTTTAAATTTCAGCTTGTGTAGCAGCTGAGATTTTTTTTCCTGTGAACTACTTGTAGGAGACCTTAGGATATAGGTAATGTGTATCAGCTGAAAAACTGTACCAGATTAACATCCTACTCTATCAGAAACTAGGATATTTCTTTTTTTCTTTCTTAATTTTTAGTTGTAACCCTTGTTGTAATCTGCCTAGATTGCTCTGAGTCGTGACTGATGATACAAAACTTGTCCCCATATGTGGCTTGAATTGAGTCTCCACTAGGGTGGAAGAAAGTGGAAGTCATTGTTTATTTTAAGACTTTGCATTTAGATTCAAAAGTGTATTAATTGGATGAAATGGAAAACTGGATAAAATATTGTTGAAAAGCATCTCTTTGAAACATGGGTGCCCAAATGTTATAGAGCCTGAGAGCTGTTCACTGAGAAGTTCGTCTACTTTGTATGCAGTTTAGTAAAAATCCTGAAACAATGCCAGATCAACC